GGCTGCAGGATGCAGATGTGCCTTAACATTTTGTCTGCTTCCGTAGTGCAGAGCAACATTGTCAGACCACCACCACCACCGCCACCACCACCACCACCACCACCACCACCACCACCTGCTACTACTACTACTACTACTACTACTATTACTACTACTACTACTACTACTACTACTACTGCTGCTACTACTACTACTACTACTACTGCACTTGACAGGTGCATGGACCGCAGGCAGTAGGACATGAACGGACATTTCGCTGAGAATGCATCATATTGACATGTTGCTTGCAACCAGAACCCGAAAAGGAAATATGTGGTTCTGAATGATCATTGATAGTATCCCCGTAATTATCACCCATAGAAGAAGTTGTTGCCATACTATAACACGCCCAAAATTCCATTCTAGTTATTCAGACCCCTAAACACACCTGTTGGAGCAGGATCGGTAAGGTGCTGGAGGATCTTTAGTTGCTGTAGGTTCAGTTTTGGTGTCATCTCCTCATAAGAGTCTAGGCCTGGTTGAAATCCTCGGGAGCTTCCATGCTTGATTTGCCCAGAGGGTCCTATGTCCTGTTATGGAGGATACTTCCCTAAATCGTAATAGTAATTCCTAATATAGAAACCCTACATTCGACTATATAGGTACATAGGACGCTTTGGGTTGGGAAGTGTGTAATCTCGCGGAATCTCGAATTGCAAGGCTTGGCCCAAGGCAACACGTCGAATCCAGACACAAAGACACAGAGGCCTCTTGCGATATGGCTGCCATGCGCTTTATGCTATTGGCCTTCATGGTCGCAGGTGCTGAGGCAGGACCTTGCACCCCCGTGGACTCCTGTCCAAAGCTTTCCGACGGCCTCTATTGTCCCGTCAACGACGTCACCGAACATGCCGACATCAATCGGGATGTTAAGCTGGTTAAAGACTACTTGGCTGAGACTCCCCTGAACTACGCAATGGCCAAGGAGGTGTACACCGCAGGCAACTTCTCTTCCAAAGGGCTGGGAAACATGCGAACTCTCCAAGACCTGGCGCAGAAGGACATGACCGTGGATGGAAAGTACACCAACGTCCCCTTGCAGAACCACAAGGGGCCATAAACATTTCCCTCAAACAACCTAAATGTTGTTTTTGATTTTTTGTTTCAATCGGTGCATGATCCGTGCTTTCACATTCTGCACCCCCGAGACGCAAGGTTTT